CCCCAAATGCTAACACGTAACAAGTTGACCTTAGAGGCTAAAATTTCTTGGATCCATTATTTCAATCTTCCTTGAACGAAATGCAACCCTCGACTTAATTGACTGCTCGGCACTCTGTCGCCGGCTCTTGAATGGTGTGTCATAAATGTTTGTTCAAATATTACGATCCTTTTATACTATTAACCAAAGACGAGCTGGAGCTTATAGCCATTATCGATCAAGTTCACATCCGAAATCGGTGTTCTTCAGAGTTTATCCCTCTCTTTTCTATCCAGCTTTGTGTTGGGCATTGTTCTGGAAACAGCTACATGATTGCACTTCCAGGTGGCTAATTATCCCATCTGGAGTATGCGGATCACATTGTACCACTCAGTACAGGTCCGGGTAAGTAACAGGCTTCGCTAGTGCTGCCAGATGCAGTACGCCTTTTGCACCTTCAAACAGTAAAATGATACTACAGGACTGGGCTGTTCTAGGATTGCAAACCAGCAATAGCTGGAAATGTAACAGAGATGCTGGACAAATTTCATCATTTCGTAGTGACATTTCCCTTGCGCTTATGCTTCAGATGAACTTTGGGCACGCACAGAAGGGGTTCAGTAAGCGCTGTACAAACTGAGACGTCTCTGGTACCGTTGTGGCTTTTGGTTGCCGTGAAGAGTCGAGTGTGTGCTGCAACCAAGCTGCCGGTGCTGCTATATGATACAGAGCTTTATCCGCTACGGAAGCTGGGTAAGGAAATGCCATCACTTCTTGATGCATTGTCAGAGTTTGGTGTGGTAGCCAAAAAAGTAATGCTGATGTTAAGGGTAGAGTTTTAGGCAGCAGCTTAGCTTATTAGACCTTGACCTGCATAGATTACGTTGGCTGGGTTACCTGTTACGCATGGCACCAAATAGAACGCCGCGGCTTGCGATGTTTTCAGAAGGGGGTAGTGGTTGCATGTGAGCCGAAGGTTTGTCAAACTAAAAAAAGGCATGAGCATAAAATCGTGATCAAAATACCCGGTCATATATCTCACGTTATTCTTCCTAGTTGAGTGGAACCCTCGAGATCAGTGTAAACGATGCTAATATCGCAAATAGTGAATCTAATGCATTCGTCAAGTTTCTTCGTTAATTTAGTTTAACTACATTCTGAATCGTCACCTCTACGCTCCTTACGGCTTTCTTGTTACTTTTCGTCACTCAAATGGGTTGTCGATAGATTGCAATAAATCTGCCACACGAAAAGACAAAGCTGTCTTTTGTGTAAATTGAAGCATAAAAGTCAAACGTATTGCGCTTAAGTTCACTCGACACTCAGATTGGGTCACGTGACGTGACTAGTCGATGATTGTAGCATGAAGCCAGTGACGGATGAATGCTGAGTATTGTTGACTCACCATTTTGATATTGGTCTAAGGATGTAAAAGTAGGCACTGTGGTGTGATTCATCATAAAGAAATGCCATAGCTTCACACAATATGGACTGAGTCATAAATAAAAGATCTAAGAATTAAGCATCACAATCACATGAACTATTTTCGATCTTCTCACCTAATACGTTCTCCTCTATATGAGAATGATACACAACCAATGTCTCCAAAATGAGCCAAAGAAATTTTGGTAGAAAAGCATCTCCTAGGTGCCAGAAATGTATACCGTAAATCACGAAAGAGAAGCGTATTTTTATCAGTTTTTCAACAACCAACCGATAGTGATTGTTAACTGTATCCAGAATACTTTCCGTACTTTGTATTAGAACAGTGAAAGATTATCTGAACAAAACAATTTCGTATTGATCATGCATATGGTAAACGTTTTTATTCAGATTTTGTATATAGTTTTTATTGAATCCTCATCTCAGGGATGGTCCTTATATTGGGGCGATCAGATATTATGCAAACCACATTCGTTTCATTATTATTCTGCTTTAGTTCACCTCGTGGACGCCCATTTTAAGTTCTCCTTTCTTAATTGTTCATAACGTCCTTGCCTTTAGTTGCTGCTATTCTTCATTTTCCAGTACAATATTTACCACGGAGTTTTATCAGTCCCCATCCAATCGAATAAAAACAAATTCATAAAAGATACAAGTTCACTCACTAATCGGAATTACAGTTGGACGTCTACTAGTGACGCAACACCCTGTCGAGTGAAATACGACGTTCCTGAATATCTATAAGACACAAATTACAAGTTTGCTGAGATTTGGTGAAGTGATTGCCACCCACTGACTAAAATCCTTTGTGTTAACAGAAAGTTTGTCCCAACTACGGCAACATAGTCCTCATTTCACCCACAAGTTTCTTATCCTATGTAGGTCTGTTTAGTTGCTTAATTGCTTTTTATGCAATATGTATTATGCTGAGATGCAGTGAAATCGTCTAGGACATTAGTAGCGTAGTACTGCGTTGTTTTTTAATTGGTCTCGAGAAAGGCTTGCTTCAAATGCACTATAAAAATAAAACTGTATTTTAAGTAGTCTTCAGTGGAACCCATAAAATGTCTAAAAAGTAAATATCAGTGAGCCCGGTGATAAGTCATTAAAACCGGCTAACTATTAGATTGATATGGACAAGAAAACATTCATTCACTTTGTTTAGGTAAACTAATATATACCCCCTGAATTCGTCGTTTTACAACTTACTATGATACCCGTAAATTAATGAATGTGACTTTGAAAGGTTTCTCAGCAGAGCCGATTCAAATAATCTCAAATGTTCTGAAACTTTATTCATGTATAATTGTAATTCCGAATCGGATATCCGACGAGGCTAGCTTGCACTCATTTCTTATCTCTCAAAAAAGCGCGTCTTCCAATCACAAACGATATTCGTTAAATTAATTTCCCGTGAAAATCGGCATGCCTCTACCCTCTTTGTAAACTGTAGACCACAACTGAAAACACGCCTAACCAACACGGCCACTGAATTTTTATTTATTGGCATTTAACACCTTCATTTTCTGCAGACGCTCATGAAAACTCATTTGTATTCACAAACACACACTGTTCTAGGATGATCATTTATTGGGGTTAGTTATTACTTGTCTCAACTAATGGTAGTTGCTTCTAAACAACCTATGCATGAATGATTACGCCTCAGTGAGAATCATATTTTGAGTCAGAAGGTAAAAGTAGTGGAGCTGCCGCAAATTCGCATCTTATACAGCAATAATAATCAATACTAGCAGATTTTTCATGGCTAGTGATATATGAATTGGCTTTATTTCTCATTGCACAATGAAAAAAGTACAAGAAACCGTCAGTATGCACGAAGCGGTCAGCGAAACAAAATGGCGTCAAGCTAATTGGAATCTTTGATTCATTTTTTATTACGGCCTCAAGATAATCGGTTCAAAGCAATAAACCACAGATGACTGAATGAGTTTCATTGGAAATTGACTGAAATCATTGTCAGCTCTCATTCCTAAAACGTTCTACATCAGTTAGCTTCTGATATCCCTAATCAAATATTGGTTTTTCTAACCGCGGCATTTATTGCTGTTACCTCCACAACCCGATTCAGTACAGTAAATGTGTCATTTTGGATACTCTTTTTGTTTGCACCTTCCATTCCAGTTGCACTTTTCAGTGCATCGCGTGACTCATCCAAACTCAGTGAATCTGTTCATTCCCCCCTCATTATCTTGGAACACTAAGTGTAAACAGAAATAATTATCGAGAGTTAGAATAAAATGAACCTCATTTGTGAAGCGCCCATCAGGGAGTGTGTCGCATACGATCATACTTGATTGAGGCCTATAAACTATTGCTCGTCCAAGCATTTCTGTTCGTCAGGATCTTTTGAAGTTTACCCTCATCTGTGTGCGAGCATAATTCTAATTATTGGGATACAAACTAGCATAGTAGTTACTCGTAGCACTCGAGGAGAATTACTAACTTCTTTTATAATCAATTCAATCAGTCAAACTAAACGCTATATTCCATTTCATAGGGTATGAGTCCCGTTCGCACAGATCAGTGGAAAGTGCTATCCTTAACTTTCACTTGATTGGCCATTACAGGATACAGCTGCGTCTGCGTCACTTATCACACGCATACATTGCTATGAAAAACTACGGGCCAGTAACTAGAGACCGTGTTCTTTGTACGTGGCACAAAATCAGACGTGTCAGTTTATGTCTGCTTGCATGTTTGAACGTACATGTATACATGCAAATAAACATTAATCTGAACCAATATCCGGACAGTTGATCATTTCCAACAGTCAAAAATCATCTTCTGTGCTCAGTAACGCAAGCAGGACGATAGAGGTTGAAGCAATACAAAATGAATGTGTTCCATGGTCATCAGCCGGCACGCCTAATCCGTCTCGGTTTCACTAATTCACATGTTCACCATACACCCACGCAATGCGTAGTATGAACCAATCATTTTTTATCGATGGCCACGTGACCATTGCATGAGCTGTTGCCGATTGGTCAGATTGCGGGACATACATGATTGGTTTGTTGACACGTGGTTGAATCCCCACTGACTCAGCGTTGGTGCACACTTGTAAACAAACACATGCATACTTTACTTTAAATGGGAACTGTGGTTTTGGAAGGGTAACTACTGTGCCCGGATATGTAATAACAGTCAACTTCGTCTTCGTTGCATTCCTAACGTCATTTGTGAAATTATGCATCTACTCTTTTGGATTTGTACCATACTCTNTCTCCGTGATCTACCCAATTCCGACTTTATCTCAAACTGGACCATGGTTTCCGCCGGATCGTGAAGCTGATCCACTGCATCTATCCACGGTCCTTTATCATGTTGACGGTGAAGCTGTCTCTTCGTTCGCTTCACAGCTGACGCAAGCTGTGAATACAGTTTTAACTAAGGAACAAGGAAATCATGTGCCCGGAGAATCATTTCAATGGCATACATTGACTGCATTTCGCGAATCACAAAACCCAGACGGGGAAAGTTGGTTGATACTTGGTGGATCTGTGCCAACAATCGAAACAGATATCAACAATCCCTTTACCAAGTTTGCCAGCGGTGTAATGAGCTGCCGATTTCGTCCACAGTCATCCGCAGCTTACGGCTTCACGTTTCAGGATTGTGAACCTGTGGATCTACAGTACGTACACAACGAACCGGGTGGTGTGAGAAAAAATGGTGCCGGTCTGTTAGGCATAGGACTCACCAGTCTGGAGCTGAATGGAGCCAAAGATGGCGCAGTTCTGGTCTACTGTGACCCACTTTGGAGAGCAGACGGCTTGCATGCTGGTGGAAAATGTCGTATTCGTTTGCGCAGAGCCGGAACCTGGTCTAACAGAACTTATACAAAAAGTTTAGAATTCTGTACCAGCTCAGGACACTCACAGCCTTGTGGAGGTGGATTCTCGGTTGATTTACTGCAGACTGATCTACAAGAGAACGACTACCAGAGCAACGGGAAAAATGTACAAAGTTTACCCTATGTGAAGCTCATGGTCGGATTGCCTTATGCTCAGCCATATGGAGAAGTGCAACTGGTTGAAAATCTCCTGAATCGAAAAGACGATTCACGCACTGCATCGTCTAGCATTCATCGTATTCTAGGAACGCGGGAGAAATTTGGAACAAAAGTGGCTTGGACACCAGAGATGAGTTTGAAAAACAACAGGAAACGACAATCTTCAATTATCAGTGCTTTACAAACCTATATACAAACTAGAATCTCTCAATGGACACAGGAAAGTTTAGCTCTGATCACCTCGAGCGCTGAAGATCGTGTTCTAGCTTATCGTCATCCACGTGCCGGACAAAGCGAACAGTTGTTTGACATTCGTCCACCATCATCATCATCATCACCATCATCATCATCGTCATCATCATATGTGGATAAGGAGGAGGAGGAGGAGGATTTGGTGAAGAATTCTGATGTTTTGGGCAGTGGTTTTGGTCAGGCATTAGAGACGGTGATTGTCCCCGCGGATACAAGTGTGTTATTACAACGTGCGGAATATGCTATTCTGTTGGGTGCTCCGTTTCACAGTAGTGCCCGGAAGGGAGCCAATCATGGCCGTGTTTACATTATGTGCCCGGGAATGGAAAATCTGACGGAGCAGCTACATTATTTGGATGGTGCGCATAGTCAATCTTTCTTTGGATATTCCGTGGTAAGACTGGGTGACGTGGATGGAGACGGGATAGATGACGTGGCCATCGGAGCACCTGGTCTTCAGA